CTCTTCTCTCACTACTGTTCAGTTGTTTGTTCCAGGTGATTTATCCACAATTTAGTTGTAATTCCAGATTGGTCCTGGGAGGAGCTCAGTGTGACTTCCATTCATTCCTTCGCCATCTTCATTCTCCTGGTTCCACTTTTTAAAATTACCATTTAGTTTTAATATCAGGAGCAAATGATTTTTAAATTGGTATTATCCCCAGCCCTGATTTCTCCTTTGAGCTACAAGTTACTAGATCACATCAGCCTCTTGCTATTTTCATCTTGAATCTAAGAGCATCTCAAACTTAACTTCTAGTTAATGAAATTTGTGTTTTTTTCCCTTATCAAATCTGCCTTTCATCCCTTCCCATCATGGCTGATAACATGACTGTTCGTTCAGGACAAAAACTTAGTAGTCACTCTCGACTCTTTGTTTCTTCACATTCCAATATCAAATCCATAAGGAAGTCTTATTAAATATGTATTTAAAATAAATGCAAAATATGATCATGTCTCACTAACCTTACTGTACCAGCCTAATGTCCTATGTCCCAGCCACTATCAGTGATCACTGGACCATGGTGTTAGTCTTCTAACTTGTCTTTTTGCTTCTACCCTTGCTCCCAATAGTCTCTTCTCTACAGCTGAGTGACTTTTTTAAAAAACATGTTCTAAAAATTGAAAAACTGTTATTTGGAACAGAAATGAAATTCCAGAAATACATTCAAATCCAATAAACTACATAGAACTTAAGTTCATTACCAATTAACCCAAGAACATTGATAAAGCCAAAGATAGTGTCCCCACAATTTCTGGGCACTTAAAATCTCATGTGGCTTTGTTTTAATTGTAATCTACTTCTGTATATAACTCTACTATATAGTTAGTTTATTGAAAAATCATGTAATTATACAACAACCCTGCTCAAAATTTTCCAATGGCTTCCAGGCTTCCAATCACACTTAGAATATAGTCTATCGCTTTGTAAAATCACATACAATCTGAGGGGCCTACCAACCTCTTAAACCTTGTCTCTCTGCACTTACCAACTTCTTATGCTATGCTATACCCACAATAGCCCCCTACTTTTTCTTGAACACACTAAATTTACTCTGCCTCAGAGCCTTTGTACTCACGGTTCCCTTTGCCTGAAATACTTTCTTAACAGATATACACATGGCTTCATGCTTCATTCAACTCTCAATACTTCCTCAAAGGAGTCTTTCCTACTTAATAGTTTTTTAATCTAAAATAGTCCTCACTGCCCATCTATTTCTTCATAGTATTTATCACTATCTAAAATTATGTATTTATTTGTGTATTATCTATCTTCTCCACTAAAAATATAATCTCCATAAGAGCCTTGTTTTGGTCTGTTTGTTCACCACTGTAGTCCCAGCAACAATATCCATGCCTCATTAAATATGTGCTCATTAAATATGTTATATGAGAGAATAAAAATAACCCGATAATATTCTAAAAATTGAAAAAAATATACTGGAATAGAAATAGAATGCCAGAATAATATTCAAATCTAATAAAGTATATACAAACTAAATTCATCACTTTCTGTAACAGTGAAAGGCTCAGTCTCTCTGACGCACTGGCGATCTAGCCTGCTTTGTTCACATTGCCTTCAGGCTAACAACTTCTGTCTAATCAAGAGGAATTGTGTTTGTGGAGCTTACGGAGATAGGGAAGTATGTATTGTTTATCAAAGATTTGCAGGAACCTTGAGATAAGACTCATATCAATTAGCATAATTTTCCTCAGACCCCTGCTGGTGCCCAGATATCTGCAACAGTCACTCACCTCAAATGACCCTGCCATTTCCTCTTCCCTTGACAGACACAAAGGAAACCTGAACTCTGTATTTTCTTAAGATGAATCTGAGGAACCACTAGGTCTCCCATCTTCTAAGTTGGCGTGTTCTTGACCAATAAACCTTTCCTTACTCTAAAGTCTGATGTTTTGAGCCTTGGCTGTTTGAAACATTGTGCACATAGACGTTAGACCAGTAACATCACCTTGTAACCTATTAATAATGGCAGACCTTCACCAGAATAAAAAAAAGATTTTCTCATAATTTCTAGGCATTTAAATTCTTGTGTGCCTCTATTTTAAATATAATTTACATTTCTGTATATAACTATATTATTGTATAGTTAGTTCATTCAAAACCAGTGTTTCAACTTCCATTCAACCAATTTGCCAGCAATGAAAGTCATGATCAATAGCAAGTTAAAACAAAACTAAAGGTAAAAAGTAGACATAAGTATAAGAACTGTAGTGGGAGACCAAATGTCTGCATGAAAACATGAGGAGCTCTCCCAGATCCACTCTCTCATAAAAATGGTGAAAATTATTTTTAAACAACTACAAAGGGAAGGAAGTGGTTGGAGGTGGAATAGGATATAAGGGGGCTAAATAGTAATGTAAAAAAGTACAATTAAAAACACCACCACCACCAAAAGTCTCTGGAAATGGTCTTTAGGGCAAACAAATGAAAAAATATCTATTCAAGAAAACCTATGAAATTCTTTGGTAAGAAAGGCTAGAGTCTATGGTATCTGAACCAAAACTGATCCTTCCCTCCCTCTTTGGAATCAGTGAGGGTGGCTGCACTCCACACCATTGTAGCCAAGAGAATAGGGCTCTCTCCTTCCCTTCTTCCCAGACAAAGGGTTCTCTTCCCATAAGAGCAGGGCTTCAGCATTTCTTATATTCTCCGAGCTGTCTGTTGCTGAGCAAGCTAAGTCCTGGCTAACTGCAGGTAGAGAGGTAGAGGCTCCTAGTCTTCTCTTTTGAAACAGAAGCTCTACCTTGGGCGTGGTATGCTGAAAATACTGGGACCCCAAAAGTCCTTCTCTTGCCTCATGAGGCAGTGTTTCCATGCCAAGGGACCTCCAACTACTGTCCCCAACTCAACCAAAAGGCTCAGCTCCTAAAGTAGGTCACTCTGAGAACAGCTAGCAATAGTCCTCACCCGCAAATTCAGAGTCCTGGCTCAGAGATTTTGCTCTCTGAGGGCAAAAGGCAACAAAAGAGAGGTAATTCTTAATCTCTTCCTAAAGGAAATCCTTTCATTTGCAACAGTTAAGTTTAAACGTAAGTCCCCTCTCAAAAATGATGGAGGATGTAGTAAAGGAAATTGGGAGAAGACTGGTAGACCTAATAAAGATATAGCCTAGACTACAGGCTCTCCAGGGAAGAACCAGGAAAACAGGACAGATGAGAGGAGCACTCCTGGGGTCAGAACAAATATCAAACTCTGATCTCAGATTAAAACCACAATAAGGTATCACCTCACACCTGTCAGAGCAGGTGTTGATTTATTTACCATTAATAATCTACAAACAAGTGCTAGCGAAGATGTGGAGAAAAGAGAATCCTAGTGCACTATTGGTGGGAAAGCAAATTTGTGCAGCCCCCATGGAAAGCACTATGGAGTTAGCTCAAAAAATTAAAAATGGAATTGACTTAATGACCCAGTGATTCCACTTCTGGGAACATATCCAAAAAAACCCATATCCAAAAAACCCCAAAACATTAATTCAAAAGAATATATGCACCACTATGTTCACTGCAGTGTTATTTACCATAGCCAAGATTTGCAGGTGGCTCAAGTGCCCATGAGTAGATAAATGGATAAAAAAAGCTGTGGTATATTTACACAATGGAACACTACTTGGCAGAAAAAAGGAGGAAATCTTATCCTTTGAGACAGCATGAATGGACCTGGAGATCACTATGCTAAGTGAGACAAGCCAGTCAGGGAAAGAGAAGTACCATATGATTTCACTCATATGTGGAATCTAATGAACAAAATAAACTAACAAACAAAACAGGAACAGACTCATAGAGAAGAGACTGACAGCTGTCAGAGAGGAGTGGGGTTGCAGGGCTGAGTAGAAAAGCAAAAAACAAACAAAGAAAAAACCTCATAGACAGACAAGGGTGTAGTGATTACCACAAGGAAAGGGGGACAGGTAGAAGAGGATATAGGGGGATAAATGGTGATGGAAAGGAGACTTGACGCAAGGTGGTCAACAAATGCTACAATACAGATGATATATTAGAGAACTGTACACCTAAAACATATAATTTTATTAACCAATGTCATCTCAATAAATTCAATAAAAAAAGAAAAAGAAACTACTCCATTTTAGGAGGCATAATTTTATTAACTTGTCAAGCAATTTGTGTCCCAGGCCCCTGCTATAAAACAACAGAGCAGTTAGCAGAGACTAATGTTGTGTTTTGGGGATAGGAAAAAACAGACTTCACTAAAATAATACAGTCACTAAACAAATAAACATGCACGTAATAACAAGCGCTGGAAGGGGGGGACCAGTACTTAGAACTGCTACAATATACTATCTAAAATGTCCCATTTCCAATTAAAAAATTGTAAGGCATACAAAAAAACAGCAAGTATGACCCACACATTAAAAAAGAAAAGCAGGCAGGAGAAACTGTCTGTGAGAGTGACTTTATTGCAAATTTAACAGTAAAATATTTAAAACTAGCCATTATAAATATCTTCACAGAACTAAAGGGATGCTTGATAAAAAGAAGGAAACAATAACAACATCCTATCAAATAGAGAATATAAAAAATAATAATTTTAAAAAAGATTTTATTTATTTATTGTTTAGAGAGAGGGGAAGGGAGGGACACAGAGAGGGAGAAAGAAAGGGCAGGGACTGAATCTGTAACCTAGGCATGTGTCCTGACCAGGAATTGAACCAGTGACGTTTTGTTTTCGTAGATGACACCCAACCAACTGAGCCACACCAGTCAGGGCTAAAAAGAAATTTTTACACCTAATGTATTTTTTTTTAAAGCCACAACTTTCAGCAATAAAATTAACTCATTTCTATAATTTAATCATAAATCTATATGCTACTTCTTGAATGACATCCATTCTGATACATAATTAGCATTTCTTTAAATAAAGTAATGCAATAAATAGTAGATTAATTCTCAAATATTTAAAAATAATATGAAAAATCTTACTGGTCTGACGTCACCACAGGAATTGGTAAATTGTCGTGCCAAGCCAAAATCAAGCATGAAACATTTCCTACATGTACTAGGAAAGCGACCCATGGCGAAGTTCGACTGGAAAAATAAAGAAAGTATACATATTCTTATAATTGTTAGTCCTTATATCTTATCTTTCCTATAGTTTAATTCTACTAAATTCTATGTAACACTCATATCCCAAGTACACTATTATAGTCAATGATGTTTACTGTAATTAATACATAATTTCATGTGGGTTCTATTAATGCCTATATCTGGTGAACTTTGAGCAACAAAGAATTTAAGCAATTGTAAAAAGTTATATACAACACAACACTGACTTACCTGGAATCAGAACTCTAACTTCTCCTAAGTCATCACCTAAATGAAATCCAATCCCTATTTTTTTAAATGGGAGTAAGCAGGAGTGAGCAAAATCAATTACATAGCTCAGAAATGTAAATGAATATCCTTAAGCTGAATTTCACTAAGTATAAAAATTAAAATGCAATCTAAGGAAACATTTCAAAACAGACTTAAGGAAAATATACTTTGTATTTTCCCTTAAAAATAAGTGTAACATTAACTGACCACAATCTTGCAAAGATGGGTATGTAAACAAGAGAATAAAAGCAAAAACCAAAATGTTACAGAATTGTTAGCTTTTATTCTAAAACACTGTTCTACTCAGGGAGCTTTCTGATGAAATAGAAACTCTTCAATCACCACAGTTAAATAATGACATTTAGTATGGCATAGAAATTAAGAGCCAGAGAAATCTATACTACATTAAGTCTGACTTGACCATGTTAATATTAGTTGACATCAAGTAAACTATTTAATTTTAGAAATCATGTAGCAACAGATGGGTGTAATTTTCAACTGTACCAACTAACGAATGTTAGATTTCAACCATATACAATAGATCAGAAGTAGGTCATAGTTCCTCATGAGCAATTAAAAAAAAACTGAGTAGAAAAAAATTTAAAGGTGTATTTCAGTTATGGAAATGACAATTTCTAAGGAAAACAACAGGGAAAAAAATACTATATATTGCCAGAGTAGTACTCAAAAGAAAAAAAACAATCTTTCAAAACTGAGAGTTTCTTAGAAGAATAATTTGTCATTTGAAAAATAGTTTGAAGAACACCATGCCAACATCTAAAAGCAGCATATGTAAATATTTTAAGCAATATTAGAAAAGACAAATCTAAAAAATAGCTATCAATTAAGAAATTAGCAATGTTAACACATATAATAATAGTCAAGCATTAATCATTTTTAATTTGGCTGCTGAGCAACATTTTCATTGTATGTGAAAAGCTCTTGAATATAAGTTGTAGTTTGTAACTACTTTTTTTTTTTTTAATTAAGAGGTGCCCTGGCCGGGTTGCTCAGTTGGTTATAGGGCCATTCCAATACTTCAGGGCTGCTGGTTTGATCCCCGGTCAGGGCACATATAATAACCAACCAGTGAATGCACAAATAAGTGGAACAACAAATGTCTCTCTCTTTCAAATCAATTTTAAAAAATTAAGAAGTTACATTCTGCTTCTAGTTACATTTTTGCTACAGAAATTAAAATATTACCTGTATTTAATATAGAAAGCAAATACGGAAGTTACATGTGTAATTTATAGTGTCCCATTTTAAGAAGAGTACCAAGCAACCTCATTTTGTGCTCTGGCTGGAAAAGGCCCCCTACCGGTTTGATGTCTCGGTGCAAGAATCCCACAGAATGAATGCTCTCAATAGACTCCAGAATCTGTCTACCCAGCCGAAGAGTAGTGCTAATAGTGAATGTGCCCCGGGACTGGCTACGGCGTAGATCTGCCAGATTCCGACCCTATGGAAACCAAATAAACACTTTCAAATATGGTACTAAAATTACATTACAAGAAAAGGTGTGGAATTATCCATTTACTATTTAAAATGTTTTGAATGACATAGCAAGGATTTTACCCAAATCAGGATTCTCTAACTCATAAAAAAAGAGATTCTGTTAAGATAATGCATTAGTGTTTCAGACAAACTTAAGAATCACCAGTTTTTAAACATATTATGTTTCCAACTTACAATTCCCTTTGTTTCTGATGTCATAACAAAATATAGTCTTGATTATTTAGAAGATATTTTTATATATTAATGTACATATACAAGGTTTGGCACAAATAATGCCCCTTGTTTATTACAAAATCATTAAGCACGTAATTCTGTAACATAACAACATCACACTCAAGTACACCATATGACATTTTAGGTGAAATGTTCAAATTAAAACTATAAATCATTACACCCATATTATAACCCTACCAACCACACTCAAGCATGTATTACTTCTGCTCGACCCTGTATGTAAAATTCCTCATTACTGCCTAGCATGTATTTCCATACTAACTACTTAATTTTTCTGTGTCACAGTTTCCTTACAAAATGGGGTCAGTGTTTTGTGAGGACTAAAAAAGATCCATGTAAAGTGTTTAGAATACTGTCTGGCACACAGTAAGAAGGTGCCTCAATAAATGCCAATTATTGTTACTGTGAACAAAAATGATATGAAACACCCAATTACTTTTAGCAGTATATAAAAGCAATGAATGACCTAGCTTGTGCCAGATATATTACATTCATGATTGCATTTAATTCTCACACTACCATGAAGAGAAGTTGTTATTCCTGTTTTACAGATGAGGAAACTGAGGCTCAGAGAGTTCAATGTTAACCTGTCAAGATAAAGTGGTCTTTCAAATCTAAGTCCGTCTGACTCCAAAGTGTTCTTTTTGCACTTCACAGTGCTGTTCCATCCAAAAGATTCCTTATTTACTAGGTAACAACTAGGAATCTGATAAGAGCAGATTACACTGCTGCAGTTCTACCTCCCGAAGAATGGAAACTGGCTCCTCTGTCTCAAGACAATTTAAATATCCCAATCTCTTTATTCCCAAAATTTTGTAGGATACAAGGGGGTACCCAAAAAACCAGAATTATCTTCTGGAGGGTGGGCCCCTTATAGTACAGGCTTCCTGTGGGAGGTGAGTGGTCTAGGAACCCATCAGTCGGTCAGTGGACCAACAGGCATTGTTGTAAGAGGCTCTGTTCAGCTTTGGTGAATTTTTTTGGAAGACTCAACGTGTTTGCCCATTTCATGATGGGTGATCTACAAACACACCTGCCCACACAGTGCTGAGTGTTCAGCCATTTTTCACCAAAAATGGCCTGACCCCCATGTCCCACCCTCCCTATTCACCTGATCTTGCCCCAAGCAACTTTTTTTTCCTTCAAATGAAAAAAGTCCTCAAAGGGAAACATTTTGCTGATGTGGAAGAGGTGAAACAAAAAAATGGCAGGAGCACTAAAAAGCACCAAAATCAATGAGTTCAAAAACTATTTTAAGTAGTGGAAAAAAATGTCTCAATAGATGTGTTGCATCAAATGGAGACTACTTGGAAGGTGACTGAAGTTTAAAAGTGTAAGAATAAATACACAAATTTTTACAAATAAATTCCTGTTTTTTGGGTCCCCCGCCTCATATGTTTAGGATTAATACCACTAATATCATCACCTCAACTAAAGATGTTGACTTCCTTTTGAAAAAATAATAAATTCTTAAATTACTTAAGTACCATTTGAAATAAAATATTAAATAGTACTCAATCTAAGAATTGAAAAATTACAGAAAAGTTGGGAGCCTTTCATAGAACATATCTTCTTTTAAAATAAAGTTTTTCCATAGCATAACTTTGCAGTTATCTTTATTTTTTTAAATATTAGGGGAATTTATCCTCTACATCCTCAGCAAATATAAAATAACTGATAATCTAAGCAACATGAGAGTACCTAATAACTTTTACTAGCATTCCAATACATTTTTTCTTCAAAAATCAGTATTTTGATTGCCCAAATATACCTAAGATAATACTGGAACTTCATTTGTAAACAACTTATACTGTCATAATAACTTTTGAAAGGAAATCAATAAACCTAGACTTATGATATTAGTAATGATTTAAATTTTTAAATATTTTAAAATGTAAACCTAAGGTTTCAAATAAAATTAAAAAGATAAATGCAAGGCTGGAAAAGTTATGAACATTGTAAATATATGCAGGTTTGATCCAACAAATTATACAGGGTGAGGCAAAAGCAGGTTCACAGTTGTGAGTATGTGGGACAGAATTAATTCTTGTGTTATTTATTAATTATTGTATTATTTTTCATGCAAGCAACTGTACACCTACTTTTGCCCCACACTGTACTTCAGAGTATATACTACAAATGGTTATTTATTATAAAGAAAAAAAACAACCTATACATCTATCAATAAATGAAAGATTAAATAAGTTATGGTACAGTCATCTTACTGCCTAATATGCAGCCACTAAAAAAAGAACCTTTATACATAGTAATATGGAATAAATGTTATTAAATAAAAACGTAAATTTATTTCTTCCTAATTCTATAAACTTAACATGATCCCAATAAAAATTGGAATAAATTATTAAGAATTTGAAATATCTTAAAGGGAGAGAAAATAATAATAACAAACCCTCATCTGTTATTCACTACTCCCCCCTACCCAGGAACATACACCCTCCTCTCCCTTCCCACACACATACACTTGCATTATATTCATGTTATTATATTATTCTCTCTATTCTTGGGTATGTTTAATTTTTTTCATAATAATAAAAAGTTTTAAAATATGGCAGCTCTGATGTTAGGCAATCTAGATCTACATCTGTACTGTTAACAGGATTCAAAATATTTTTTGCCCCTCTCCAGGTGATTGCTTATCACAAAATATCACCCTTTGGCTATACTAAGGCTGCTCAAGGAAAGCCTCAATATCATTTCATCTACATGTTTTTAAAAGTATATAAGAACAAAGAGACGCACTTTGATGTCCCTGAACCTCACAATAAAAAAATCAAAGAGGTCATTAGCAATTTTTTTCCACAAACTTGAATTGGAAATATCAAAATGAACCATGATATATTTTCTCTTTAAAAAAAAGAAATCCTAATCATATCCACTTAAAAAGAATTTAAAACAATGACCAATGCAATTTCAATAGGTACCCATAGCATCTAGACTGTGGTCTCTAAATACCATTTCCCATTAATAGAAATCAGGGCTTAATGGAGAAATGGTTGATTCAAGCTCTGGAGCATGAAATGTATAGAATGAGCCAGATACGCAATGCTGTACCAGAAAGTCAGAATGCTATCAAAGACTGCTGCAGTCTGGTCCTGTTGAAATGAATCAGGATCCACCTTAAAGAAAGTCCTGCTAGCCAAAGATGGGACAATTTGAACATTAAAAAGAAAAACAATAATTAAAAGACACAAAATATGTTAAATCTATGAATTCATGATTATATTTTTTAAAAAGAAAGAGCTAATTAGTCTCTTTTGGAAAATATTAGGGAACCAACTCACTACTCTGAAAACTGGTAAATAAAAGAATCAAGTATTAGTCCTATCCTTCCCATATGAAATGTTATTTTTCCCCAGGTTAACCTAATAGTTGATTTAATGGTTTTTAAAGAATTCTCGCTGATAAATCAATTATAAATCATAGAATTAGCCCTGGCTGGTGTGGCTGAGTGGATTGAGTGTCTGCCCGTGAACCAAAGGGTCACCAGTTCAATTCCCAGTCAGGGCACGTGCCTGGGTTGCAGGTCAGGTCCCCAGTAGGGGGCACATGAGAGGCAACCACACATTGATGTTTCTCTCCCTCTCTTTCTCCCTCATTTTCCTCTCTGTCTAAAAGTAAATAAACAAATAAATCTTTTTTAAAAATTCACAGAATTAGAGTAATACACTTGCAACCCCACTGAAGTAATGAATCTAGGAAATGATTACTAATAGGTTGATTAAAACCTGGGAGAAAAACCACTGGGAACTTTGAAATAGATGAATCAGTCTGACAGTCCTTGAATCTTACTGGTCAATCTTAACATTCCTAAAAGAGAGACAATCAGACACTGCTTACTGATGTGATACAACTCACCTCTGGCCATACAAAGCAAAACTAGAATCTGATTTAATCACCAGTTTACAGATAATACAGGGAATAGAAGAACATGTTAAACAACACCACAGGAGACAATCAGAAAAACCCACAATAGAGGAACTTGTGCATCACAAATGACTTTGTTTTTATTAATGACAAATAAAAACACAACAAAAAGGAAACTGAAAGGAAAAAAACAAACAAGAGGCAACCTATAGATTAAAAAAGACTTAAGAACCCACAGGGACATTTCCCACCTATCCCCTATATCCCAATGAAAACAAATTCACTTGAAAGAAAAAAGAGAGCTTAAGAGATCTATCCACCAAATGCAATGTGTGAACTCTCTCTGAAACCAGATTCAAGTAAATCAACTATAAAGAAATAGGAGAGAGAGATGTAATCAAGGGAAACTGAAGACTGACTTGATATCCAATTCTATTATTTAGGAATTATTGTGTATTGTGGCTATGGCGGAAAAAGAAATCATTCTTAGAAATATATACTAATAAATTTACAGATAAAAGTACTTCTTTGATTTGCTTTGAATTAACTTGAGGAGGGAGTGGAGAGGGAAAATACACTTGGAACAAGACTAGCCATATACTGAAAATTACTGAAGGAGGGTGATGAGTACATGAGTACATTATATTATTCTCTCTACTCTTGGGAATGTTTAATTTTTTTCATAATAATAAAAAGTTTTAAAATATGGCAGCTCTGACGTTAGGCAATCTAGATCTACATCTGTACTGTTAACAGGATTCAAAATTTTTTTTCCCCCTCTCCAGGTGATTGCTTATCACAAAATATCACCCTTTGGCTATACTAAGGCTGCTCAAGGAAAGCCTCAACAGTGACCAGGGAGTAAATGAGACCTGGCCAAGGTCTTGTCAATAAAAATGGGAAAACAAATGTCTATAACTGTTTGAATCCTGTAAGATTTTAAGATCCATTTTAATGGTAAATAGCTAGAATCTCTACAATAGAGATAGGATTTACTTCTTAAAAAATTGAAGGCAGATGTTATATAATTGAATTGCTAGGAAGAAAAGATGAAAGTTTACTTACTAATAATGAATTAGGGGTTTTTTGAATAAATTAGGAATGTCAGTGAGAAGCTGGGTCTGAGCATGTAAATTTAAAGTATATGGGAAAACCCTATTAGTTATCTTCAATATGTCAAGAAAGTACTCTCTAGCAATTATATTAACTTTAGCTTTGTCCCCAGATCAAGTCAACCGTAAGTGTAGAGATGGGAGTAATTAATGTTCGGTTCATTTTCCTATGACAGAAAGAAAGATAGCAAGAGGTCACAGAAAAGTTCTTGCATAAGTCTATATGAGATTGTCAAAGGCCACAAAAACCATCATTATCTGATATACACCAGTCTCCTTAGTTTTTCCAGACTAAGAGCCTTCTCATTTCCAGAAAGTGAGATTTAGGTAATTGCAAATATTTAAAATAAAAATAAGTAGGTCCTAAGACTGAGAAACACTCTGCAGACTGAAAAAACTCCTGTCCATATTCTCCAGTTAGTAGTAACCTAAGGACAAAAACTGAAGAGTCTTCAGTAATTGTGCCAAGAATACAGGCCTCAGGCTTCTGCCAAGCCATAACACCCACCCAGTAGCAAGTCCCAGGCAAACCACAATGGGGATACTAGCTGTCCTATCTTCTCCATGGGGATATAGTAAGAATCAAGTAAAATCTTTATAAATCTAAAGTAAAACTATAAAATATCAGAGTTTAAAATTTTAATATCATAGTTTAAAGTATAAAAATTACATTACTAATGGCCAAAGGGAGAGAAAACAGGGTCCACATTAATAATCTAAAAAGGTCCAGGAACAGCTGCTTCAAGAAATAAAACTGTGCTAGCTCAAGAGGTAATGAAACACACAACTCAAAGACTTTAAGGATATAGTCTACAGAGAAATTAATATCTTTAAAATAAATCAAATGCTGAAGGAGAGCTGATGGAAACAAGAAAAGCCTTTTGAGGACACGAGGAAGCACTTAGGTCGGGATCTAAGTCTCTGAAATCCTTGCTATGTAGTTAAGCTGAAAGGAAATGAACCAAATGCCCCAAAGAGATTTTTCTAAAGATGAAAGAAAAGCTTGAGATCTCTAATTTAGGCAGCAAGGTGAACCATGCTTTTACACTGTGAGGGTGACTACAGTTTGGGGGGGGGGGGCAGTGTGTGTGTGTGTGCGCGTGTGCGTGTATATGTGTGCTTTTACACTTTGAGGGTGACTACAGTTCGGGGTGGGTGGGGGGCGAGGGGGTGGGAGTGTGTGTATGTGTGTCCCTCTACAGTTCGGGGTGGGTGGGGGGCGAGGGGGAGGCTGTGTGTGTGTGTGTGTGTGTGTGTGTGTGTGTGTGTTTCTCTCTCTCTCTCTCTCTCTTTCCCCAGTTTGGGGTGGGTGGGGGGCAGGGGGGTGAGTGTGTGTGTGTGTGTGTGTGTGTGTGTGTGTGTGTCTCTCTCTCTCTCTCTCTCTCTCTCCAGTTTGGGGTGGGTGGGGGGCAGGGGTGTGTGTGTGTGCGTGCCTCTCTCTCTCTCTCTCTCCAGTTTGGGGTGGGGGGTGGGGGGTGTGTGTGTGTGTGTGTGTGTGTGCGCGCGTGCCTCTCTCTCTCTCTCCAGTTGGGGGGTGGGGTGGGTGTGTGTGTGTGCGCGCGCGCCTCTCTCTCTCTCTCCAGTTGGGGGGTGGGGTGGGTGTGTGCGTGTGTGCGCGCGCCTCTCTCTCTCCAGTTGGGGGGTGGGGTGGGGAGGGTGTGGTGTGTGTGTGTGTGTGTGTGTGTGTGTGTGTGTGTGTGTGTGTGTCAGGGGCAGAGGCAGTCTCAGAGAGAGCCAGATGGTTTCCCTCTTGTCCCTGCCATAGTCATTACTCCAATATTCCCCTTCTGAATTTCTCTCTCTGTTGCTCCAACCCTACTCCACTTTCCATCTAAAGGATAGGGAACAGAGAGAGCAATGTTAAAGGATGAAAAGAGGAAGAGGAGTACCATTTCTCCTCTATTTCAACTAGAGCATAAATCTTCAAGCAGTTAAGGTTGGTACTTGAGTCCATAAATGGAAAACTGGAGTCCTTAAGGTAACAAAGGGTAGAGAAGAAGGGGACAGGAAAAGGGCAAGACTCACATTACATGCAGCAATCCATGTTGAGATTGAAAACTCTGCAATGATGACATTCAATGAAGATATGGATCAACTAAAATAGCTGAAAGGGACAATACTTTCATCTTTGGAAATATCTGTATCAAGTCTGTTTAAATAAATTGTCACCTGCATAATATTAATATAAACATTCTGAATGTTTCATTGTTATTACTATTATTATTTTCCACTATAATTAGGTACTTTGACCAAAACTGAAAGATTTTAAGACACATTTGCAAGATGGCCTACCTGCAACTGCATGACCACATAGTTGAAGCGATCGTTCCTCCCACAGCCAATAAATCTACAAACATGATCTTTCCCTGGGGAAAAACAAAACAAAACAAAACAGTGGAAATGGTTATATTATAGTTTCTCTTCTAAAAAGTTAATAATTTGTTTTTCTGTATAGTATTTTATGATTGAATATAAAGAACCTGTCTTAAGAACCTTAAGAATAGGAAATCTATTTTATTCAAATTTTCTATGCACCTCCTCCCCCCTGGTCCTACATTGCTCCTTGTGTAGTCAAATGTTTATTGAATGAATAAATAACCAAATTAATAGGAGAAAAAAAATGAATGATAATTTACTTAGAAAGAATTAGGAGGTCATTTCAGATCAAGCAGCCCATACAGTATATATACTCGTATGAAAGCACAGAAGAACAATAAATAAGAACTTGGTTAGGAATACAAATCCTGAATTTTAAATATGCTCTGCCATTCACCATTATAAGACTTCAGTGAGTCACTTAATCTTTCTGGGCCTCACTGACCTGAATTAGCCCAGTGGTTTTCAACCCGAGTTCCACATGGAAAAATCCAAGGAGGTGCTGCCTAGGCCTAGGGTGCAGAGGGAAGCAGAGGTAAAATAGGTAGAAATCTAGGATCCTGTCCCTGATTCAACAAAAGCAAACAAAACTTTATTTAAAAGATTATCAAGACTGACGGGTTCCAGAGCCAGAAGAGAGCGTCTGGCTGGAGCACAGTGAATAAAGGGAGGGAAGTGAAAAGAGATGGCATAGAAGAAGCCGGCAGGTACCAGATTCTGAACAGTCTTGGACTCCATGATAAGGAACCTACACCACATGTATAAGTCAATGTTTTCCAACCCGGGCTGCTTATTAAAAAAACTCAGGTAACCTTTTAAAAAATTCCTAAACTCTGTACTGATTCAGAATCTGTGGGGGAAGATACAGAATATGAGTGTCTCAAAAGTTCTCTAAATAACCCACAGGCAGATGGGCCATGGATGAATTATTTAAAAACTATTGCTGGGTAATGAGAAGCATCTAAAAAATTTTAAGATAAGGAAAAACATACTTAAAACTTTGCATTTTAGAACATTCTTCTGGTGGCAATAAGGAGGGCAGGCTAGAGAGGGTTCACTTCCGGAGGCAGGTCACTCTGGGGATAATTACAATATCTCAAAAGACTGAATAAGGATTTGAATCCTGAAGTATTACAGTAGAGATAGGAAAAATAGGATAAACTTGAGAGAGATTAAAGATGCAGTTTTTCACTAGAAATTGGTACACTTAAATAAAAAGTTGTACCAAAGTAAGTGAACAGGTTGTATAGTAGAAGTTAACGAATGTTCGAAGGTGGAATTTGAGGATAACCAGCTGAATTCAGGAGATGTTGTAATATCAAGTCTGCTACTGAAACCAAAAACTAAGGTCCAGAAATAACATTGGGGAACCATTAGTTCATGGAAGGCACATGGACATAGAAACATAGATGGAAGGTTGCCAAATTGAAAGAATACAGAATGAGAAGAACCTAAGAGCAGAATTCTAGAAAATGTAACATTTAAAGTATGAACAAAAATAAAATTGTCCATGAAAGAAAGAGAGTAATAGCCTGAGAGGTGGGAAGAAATTATGAGAAAGGGGTAGCACAGAAACAAAAGGGCAACATTTTAAGGTGAAAGTGGCTTATGACAAGAGCTATAGAAGAGCTAAGAAGTGCTCATTAACATAAAAAATTAGGAGGTCACTAGTGAGTGGAAGGGGCAGGAGTCAGTCTGTAATGGATTAAAGAGTAAATGGAATATGAGACAATGAGGCAATCTTTGAAAAAGCTTAAGGAAGTCACAGACAAGAGCTAGAAGGGCATGATTTGGTAGATTAATAAGAAATATATCTTAACAGTAAAGAAAAAAAAATTTGTCCACTGAAGTAAAATATGAATAAAATGCAGACTTATTATAGTTAATAATTCCACATTTCTCTTTTGCATCAGGGTTATCACATTGTTCTCTCATTTTTTGTGCTTTGTTGAAAAGAACGAACAGGTGCTATGGGAACAATAATTCACAATATGTACAATACATGTTCAACGCTTTATATGTACTTTACATGTTTGCAAAACTATCAATTACAGAATAAAAGGATGAAATGATCAATTAGCAACTTACTCGTTTCCTCAGCTTCATAGAAACAATTTAAAAAATCATTTAAAAATACTTCCTCTTATTATCCATTCTTTAAGATTCTACTTTCCTATCATGTAACATTTAAATGTGGTATCTCTATTACGAAGACATTTCAACCATCTAAAAACAAAAGTCCATACTAGATTTAACTCCTCTTGGAATGCTCTTCTTAAAATATCTTTATATTAAAGCTACACTAGAGACTTCCAGCCAAGATGGAGACGTAGGTAGATACTTTGCCTCCCTGTACAATCAAAGGACAACAAATTTAAAAACAAAACATAACCAGAACTGCCAGAAAATCGAACTGTATGGAAGTCTGACAGCCAAGACATTAAAGAAGAAACATTCATTCAGACTGGTAGGAGGGGCAGAGACAGACAGCCCGGGTATAGAGGACCTACAGCAAGGCGGTAGCTGGTGGCTTATGTACTGGGAAGTCCTACATTTGCATGGAGATAAACTGGCAGGAACAACTGGGAAGCGAGACAGAACGCGCAACCCACGCTTCCAGTGCTGGGAAATAAAGCCTCAAAACTTCTAGCTGTAAAAACCTGAGGGTTACGGCAATGAGAGAAACTCCTAGCTTCACAGGAGAGTTTGTGGCAGAGACCCACAGGGTCCTAGAACATAGACAAATCCACCCACCCAGGAGTCAGCACAGAAAGGGCCCAATTTGCTTGTTAGTGGGGAAAGTGACAGAAAGCCAACTGAGAACCAAGCAAGCAGCATTGTTCCGTCTTGGACCTCTCCCCGACATACAGCATCACAACAGAGGGACCTGGGTTGTCCTGCCCTGGCAAATACCTAAAGCTCCACCCCTCCCAAAGTAACAGGTACACTGAGACAAAGAAATATGGCCCAAATGAAAGAACAGATCAAAGCTCCAAAAATAACTAGGCGATGAACATATAGCCAACCTATCAGAAGTACAGTTCAAAACACTGGTAATCTGGATGCTCACTGAATTGGTTGAGTATGGTCGCAAAATGGAGGAAAAAGTGAAGGCTATGCAAAGTGAAATAAATAAAAATATACAGGGAACCAACAGTAAAGAGAAGGAAACTGGGACTCAAATCAACGATGGGGAGCAGAAAGAAGAGAGAAACATTAACCAGAACAGAATGAAGAAACAAGAATTCAAAAAAATGAGAAAAGGCTTAGGGAACCTCTTTAAACATTCCAACATGTGAATCATAGGGGTGCCAGAAGGAGAAGAGGAAGAGCAAGAAATTGAAAACTTCTTTGAAAAAATGATGAAGGAGAACTTCCCCAATCTGGCCAAGGAAATAGACTTCCAGGAGATCCAGGAAGCTCAGAGAGTCCCAAAGAAGTTGGACCCAAGGAAGCACACAGTTCAGATTTGGCACATCATAATTACATTACTCAAGATTAAAGATAAGGAGAGAATCTTAAAAGCAACAAGAGAAAATGAGACAGTTACCTACAAAGGAGTTCCCCTAAGACTATCAGCTGATTTCTCAAAAGAAACCTTGTAGGCAAGAAGGGGCTGGAAAGAAGTATTCAAAGTCATGAAACACAAGGACCTACACCCAAGATTACTCTATCCAGCAAAGCTATCATTTAGAATGGAAGGGCTGATATAGTGCTTCCCAGATAAGGTCAAGTGAAAGGAAAGCCCTTATTATATGAAATGTTAAAGGGACTTATCTAAGAAAAAGAAGATGATCAGAAACTATGAACAGTAAAATGACAACAAACTCACACCTATCAACAACTGAATCTAAGTAAAAACAAAAAAACTAAGCAAACATCTAGAACAGCAACAAAATCATAGAAGTGAAGATTAGAGGGGAGAGGGAGAGGGAGAGGGAAATAATATGTACAAAATAGACAGGGGGAGGTTGAGAATAGTATGGGAAATAGAGAAGCCAAACAACTTATATGTCCACCCCATGGACATGAACTAAGGCAGGGGCAGGGAAGGGGTGGTGGGAATGCTGGCGGAGGGGCGGTGCAGCATGGAGGGGAATAAAGGAGAGAAAAAAAAAATGGGACAACTGTAATAGTATAATCAATAAAATACATATTAAACAATAAGGTTATACTAAAATGCCATTTATCTCTTGATACTAAACCCACACTACTTTAAAAAGAAAAAAGACATCAAATAAACTGTATAGTATTTATTGGGAAACCAAAACACAAAGGAGTAGCAAATTTTGCATGGTTCACCAATACATCTTCATTGCTTTAGGTGAAAATTTAATGAGTTCTTATCTCACACTTTATAGCATAGTGTACTATTGCTCTTCTATTTCAGATGTATGCAATTAATTGAACTACTTTAGGTTAGTTCAATAAACATGTACAAATTTTGGGAAGCATGGAGAAACTACAATTTAATTGGAACAGCAACTTTACCACTACTTAGAGCAGTTGCAAAAATAATTTTTGTAATACCTAGTACAAACTAGGTATCACTCTATGTGTACAGGGACTATAGCTATTTGTTCTGGTACCTACCACAGTATCTGGCAAATAGTGAATTGTTTCATCTATTTATGAATGAAAAAGATTAATAGAAATAATAATAGCTAAGAAAGCATGCATAAAATGTAAGCATACTGTTCCAGGCATTATATTAAGTGCTTTACATGCATTTAAACCTCACAATGTAACAATGTATTATTTTTCCCCTATTTTTCAGATGTAAAAATAGATTGTCCAAGACCCCACAGCTGGAAAAAGATGGAGCAGTTTGACTGTAGTCTTTTTTCTTAATTATTATGACATAAACAATTGAAACAGATTTTCAAGTGTGACAAAAACAGACAAGAAGACCTGCTATGTGCCAAACACTAAAATAGGCAGTAGAAATACAAGATAAATTAAGTTATATCCATGTCACAGATATGTAAAC